ATTTTTGTAACAAGACAGATACGAGGCGACTGTAGTTTTGTTTTTTGTTTTTTGTTTACAGGGGCCGGCCGGGTTGTGGGGCTTGGGGTGTGATTTTGAACTTTGGAACATTTTAACATTTTGTCCTTCCCTCCTGATGCGGTTAAAGAAATTATCACTGGTTACGATTGCCACGGTGCAGTGCTTAGTGACAGGGTCTGTTAAAAATTGCGAAAGTTGCCAAAAATTGCCATCACTTTGCGGTGACGTTGGTGGCCAGTAATTTCCCGCAGTCAAGTCAAACAGCACCAGGAAATACGCCCTCCCTCCACGTGTCGAGTGAGTGAAAGAGTGAGCACCTGAGTGAATGAGTGGGTACTTGGTGGGTATGTCGTGCGTTTTGCGTTCGCGCTGGGTTCAACGAGCGTGTGACCGTGAGTGAGTATGAGTGCGTGTGAGAGTGTTTGTGCGCATAGAGTAGTGAGCGCGCGCGCGCGCGACGCGACGTGCGCGACGGGTATCGTGACGCGGTCGAGTCGCTGACAAGCTTGAATGGTTGCCTACATCACAGCCTGTCCAAAAAAAATAGAGAAATGTGGATTTGGAATATCTCAAAAAGAACCCGTCTGCGAAAAGTAGGGAAATCCGCTCAAATCAATTGCATAAAATATTACGTGAAACTGGCATCACAAATGCCACTTTTAAACATTCTGAAGTCAAGATAAGAACGAAGCTGGGGTCACAACAGCAAGGCCTCGAGAAGTGATTTAAAAACATGGGACTCGCCAGATCTGAGCTTGGGCATGATCCCGCATGATCCCCGGACGGTACGGGCAATTCACTTGCTCGGGTGTTCCTGCAACAGATTCGGAACGTTTCGCTATTTCCAGGGTAGCCAGTTCTGGGAACTGCCTGCTTTGTTTTTCTGTTTGTTATTTTGTTATTTTTGTTGTTTTTTTTGCGAGGGGCAGGGAGAAACCCGATCGAGATCTAGTGGGAGGTTCTACTAACTGCTGTTTGGTGACACGCCAAGTTTGTTTTAATGATCGCAGTGATAAAGTAGCGGGTCAGCACGCACTCTTGTCCAGGGCTGGATGAACTTGAGGGAGTTCTCGGGAAGCAGAAAGCAGATAGTACATCCCGATAACTTCACCAAAATACGTCAAATTTTCGGCATAAAATCTTACTTTTGTCATTCAAATATTATTTTCTGAACTTAAAAAAAACTACACATTGGTGTTCAAATGGAGTAAAATTAGGACATGCTGTCGGGGCTGTCGAACAGCACGACAGCCCGACAGCAAACCGGGTGACCAGCGTAAAGTGCGTCATCAGGGGCTCTAGGCTCCCGCTGGCGATGCTGCCCTATCCGGGGATGGGCGTTGTCTGAAGTACAATTTTCGGACGCGGGAGCTTTTAGATATCGGACTTGCGTTTGCCTGCTTACGCACGAGGTGAACTTTGATCGCGCCTCCTGACACAGCCTCCGGGGCGGGAAAGGGGAGACCTGTACCTTTCCACTACAACCGTCGTGATAAACTGCCATCCTGTTCTGGTTGGCGCGCGGCTCCGCGGCTGCCGTAGGTTGGAGGCGGCAGACGCGCGCGAGACGGAGCGTCGGAATTCGGTGATCCCGGCGGTGGGGCGCGGGCCGGCCGTGCGGGCGATGGAGGAGGACAACGCGAGAGTGGACAAGATCCAGAGGGACAGGTGCGTGCCGAGACAACATCCGTCATCACTTCGGGAGCTGCCCTTGTTGATGGCCGCGTGCGCTTGCAGGGCGCTGGTGCAGGAGGCGCTGCGGCTGCAGCGGCAGTGGCTGCGCGGCGCGGGCGGCCGCCGCTGGTCCCGGGAGGCGCTGCTGGAGGCGCCGCTGTGCCGCCTCGTGCGCGAGGAGGAGCGGCGAGTGGCGGACGAGGCCGTGATGCTGGTGGACAGCGCCCGCGGTGCGGGCCGCGCCGACTCGCTGCGCTCCAAGGTGCAGGCCGAGGAGCAGCAGGCGCGCGCCCGCCTCAGGGCCATGCGCGAGGAGCGCGCGCAGCTGCAGGTGAGGAAACACCTAACTGCGACCCACCCCACGCGCCCTGGTACGTTCTCCGAATGCGGGGTACGTTACCCTGGTTACCCGGGGTACGATTTTCTCCAACCATGGTGTCCCCACGGCCTTGGCGAGAAGGTAACCCGTATGCATACGCGTACGTGCGGTACTACAGTCTAAGAGGGGGCGTTGTGACATGTAGCCAAGGTAATTTTCGCAAACCGCCTCACGTAAAATGTGTCTTCCCAGATCCAGAATCTCTTAGCTTCAGCCTCACGGGCACCAATATTTTTAAAGGATAAAAATTCTTCCTTGAACTTATACCTTTCCAAAAACTCCTGGGTTCAACTCATTTTTCCCGGGGTGGCGCGTACAAACAGAACGTTGAGTCGCCCGGCGTTGCCCGAGGCGCTGCCGCACCCGGGCGCTCCGGGCGGGCCGCCATCCTCACACGGCCGCACGGCGGGTCGGCCTACCCAGCGCGTAGCAGGCGCTATCATTAGCGTTGCCGGGAGACACCTTTACCCTCCCGCGGTCGCTCGGCCTGTGTTCTAAAGTTTTCTCAATCGAAAGAAAACGGTTTGTTCTCCCACACCCACAACACAATCAGTAATGTTTCGCTGCCCGAAGTGGCCGAATCTGATAGCGCTGGTTGTGCAGGAGGAGGCGCGCAGCCTGCGGGCGCGCACGGCGCTGGGCGCGGCCGTCACGGACCGCTGGGAGCGCGCGCGGCTGCAGCAGCGCCAGCGCCTGCTGCTGGACCAGGAGGCGGCGCTGCGGACGGCGTTGGAGGCAGCGCGGCAGGACCTGCGCCTGGAGGTGCGCGCCCACTGCGAGCTGGTGGAGCACCTGCGCCAAGCGGCGCGCGCGCTCGAGGACCAGGCCGACGAGTGGCGCTCGCGCTACGACGAGGTCGCCGCCGGCTGGGACGCGCGCCTCGCGGCACTCAAGGTGCGGCGCCAGGAGCACGGGCGCCAGCTGCGCGCCGTGCGCAAGGAGCTGGCGCGGCGCGAGCGCTTTAAAAAGGACTTCCTGGCCTACAAGGCGGCGCGCGACCAGCAGCTGGAGGAGCGCGCGCGCATGCACACCGCCGCCACGCGCATCCAGTCCTGGTGGCGCATGACCATGGTGCGCAAGGGCCTGGGGCCCTACAAGCGTATCGCCAAGAAGAAAAAGAAGAAGAAGAAATAGGGCTCCTGCCAGGCGTCTTCCAGTCATTTTACCTGTTTTAATTTTTAAGTCACAGACACACACCAAACCAATTGAATTTGTATCATAATTTGTACATTGTTATGTTCAATTTTGTACTATTGATATGTTAAGTAAACAATTAAATTTGTTTAACAAATAAAATTGTAGAAATTCTACAGTTGAATGCCCATCCAAAATGCTAAATGGATTCGTTACTAGTAATTTTCTACTGCCATTCCAGTGATTCCAGTGACTTCTAGATTCAGCGAACAGTCGTTTCCGCAGTGACGACGTTGAGCCCCTCGGGCTCGGGTGTGATAAGCAATCATTCGACTGGGCAGAGTTCGGCCGGAACATGGGACGCTGTGCGAGACAGCTGTTGAGTATCAGACAAAGTGAGTCGGAGCGTGGCTTGTTATTGCTCGACCGGGTCCAGTGTGTAGAACATTCGAACATCGAGTCTCGCATGTTTACTATGAGTTTTATGTCGCGAATCGCGACGGCGATGTGACGGGTTATCGCGTCTTGGGCCACAGGTGCACAGCGCGGCGCGCCCGCATGCACCGCGCGTCCTCAGCGCCACGAGGGCCGAAGTCGACAGAACTGATACCGGCGCGGCCGGCAAGCCGTCGATAGCGCAAGATTACGCGAGGGGAGGTCCTGTCAGCTTAGCTGGCAGGTGAGGGCGGTCAGGGCCGAGAGTGTCGCTGCTCAGCACTGATCAACACGCTCCGCAAAGAATGGCCCGCCTGCTGGTGTTCGTGGCCCTGCTCATGGCCGCGGGCTACGCGCTGGTCGCTGCCGCCCCCGGCGCTCCGGTATCCTCTCCGGAGCAGCTCTCCCAGGTCGTCGGCGAACGGCTGGCGCAGGGTGAGTTTGACAGCGTTCTGGGGCGAGGGGGGGGGG